GTGTCTGTTCTGGTTTTACTAACACTCAGTAATGTATGCATGCAATCACGACCAGCATGGTACTTATGTGCTGTGAAAACAATGTTGTCTGCTTCCTTTAGCTTGACAATTTATACTCTGTAGGCTAGCGACTGTCTCCAAGTTGAATACTGAAACCTTTAGCCAAGGAGAAAGGAGATGGTAGTTTGGCTCCTTGTATCAATCTTACAGCCTCTTTTTGCCTGGGTAAATGGCACAATATCTAATAATAGCCATGCAAAATAATATATTACATGGAGATGCTTAATGTTGATCCCTCTAGTTAGCTGCATACTGTGTTACTGAGAGTTTACTCTCATCCAATACTATACAAAGCTAGAGAAAGTAGTCTAAAACCCCTTATTCAAACGCAGTTAACTACAAGTTATATTAGTGCTGAGCAGCTTCTGAGCAGCTGAGGGAAAATAGCCAGACACCACTTAATGTAAGAAAGGCACAGGTAGATTTTCTTTGAAGGGACTCTGTGTACTGTTCCTACATCTTGAAGGAACAGTTCTCCTCTCCTTCTATGGCAAAATAAAGCAGTTTGGAGAAAAATAATCGACATATGAAGAGACAAAATATGCATACCTTTTGGGAACAGAAACTGGCATCTGCTAGGCATTTTGTTATCTTTATTGCAAATTGTTGCTGTTTACCCAATGGAAGAAAAAAAAAAAAAAGAAAAGCAAGTATATTCAAAAATTGAGGGTGAAATGGAAATAGCGGTTAAAATATCAAAAAATTCTAGTTCAATTTTAGCTGTCTGTATCAATTTTAAAATGCATAGGTATAGTTCTACATTTACGAAATGACCCATTCTTCCAGGCATAGTTTTACTCCATCTTCCAGCTACACTGCTCCAAAAAAGACAGAGTCAAACCTTGTCATTTTGGGATGGTATTTTGCAAAACTGAGATCACTTCATCCCCTGTGAAAGACCATGCCAGACAGGCACTTTCAAATCCTTCATTTATCTTTTAGAAAGAAATAAACTGCATAAACATATGGTTTATCCTTGCTAAACCTCTGAATATTTCATAAGTTATCTCAGCTGTGTCACTTTGATTATTTATTATTTACATATTAATGCAATAAATGAACACAAGGCAGTGTAAATTAGCTAATAAACCTTAACTTCATATGTTTACAGTATAGAAATATTAACAGCTGCAATAGATAAAAACTCAAAACACGGAGATGAAGAATAGTGTAGTGTCATTACAGCTGCAATGTTCTTTTGTTTTAGTTTAATCTCACAGTCATATAAAAAAAGGGAAATTTGGATAACAAGAGTTTAGTACTTGAAGAGTTAATGTAAATTATATACTTCAGAATATGTAATTTTATTTTGAATAAAACAGTCTTTTTTTTTGTCTTTACTGATGAATCATATTTTTGCATTTGAAAAAGAAACAAAATATTATAAGCAGTACACGGGTAACAGACAAAAAGCATCTCTCTGAATAATTATGGCACCAATGTTTTTGAATGCTCTTATTAACAGCTTAAAATGTTTAGTGACAGAGACTCTGTGGTGCCATACGGCTCCCTAGATTCAGATCACATATCACAGTTGTCCTGCAAAAAAACAGGAATACAACTCTTTCACCGATTGCTCTTAAGTTATAATGAATAGAAAGTTCATATTGTGCGAGAAACTCTCTTGGAGATTGCTGTCATGTTCCCAGATCAAAAGATATTTTTTTTGAAGAAAACTTCTGTTAAGTCTGACTAATATAGTAATCTTCTCTTGGTCTTGGCTCAGCAAGAGGAATAGAAACAGTACAAGAACTGATGTGAATTTTTGTCCACACTTCACACAAATGTACCACAGACGGCCAGCAACCTTCCAAAAATGGTGTGCCAAAGTCTGTTTTCCTTTCCAAACTGGAGGCTAAATATGCCTGTAGGAGCTCAGCAGGAGCCAGTAGACGCTGGCATTCAAAGAACTGCACATAGCTGATCAGCCGAGCAGCAGCTTCTTGCCTCTCTGCCAGCCAAGGGCCTCCACTTCTCACTAGACTCTAAAGGAGTAATAAAATATCTGCATGACACTGTAACTATCACCACTACGTATGCCTACTCAGGGAGTAAGAGATACTTCCCGAAGCATCTCGGCATCACTGCTGACAGTCACCACCTGGCAGCTTCCTTATCGGAGCTAGGTAACAATCCCTCACACTTCTAGCCACTGACAACCACAAAGCCTCTCAAATACTCAAACGACTCTCCAAACTATGATGATTCCAGCTAGGAAGCTGACAGCTAATTGAGCTCCTTGCTGTTTGCTTGGCAACTCACAGTTCTTTGTCAGGACTTTAACTTAGATTGGAAAATTCTCACTGTGAGGGTCATCGTAACCTTCTGAGCAGTGCTGGTTATTTATTTTCTGCTGTTATCAAGATCCTTGTTATTTTGGTTTATTCCCTAAGGAGGCACAGAGGTACTACTGGCTCCTGCTGTCCTTATCACAGAGTCCTAAAAGCACCTTCCACCTACCAGGCAGCTGGGAGCAGCATTCCACAGGATCAAGTGCTTTCAGAAGTAGCTGCAGGGGCCACAGAAAACCCGGGTACCTACCACGTAATCACTTCAAACCCACAAGCTCCTGAAGCACACATCACTGCCAGTTGGGAGACTACTTTAAAGAAATGTACCTATATGCTAGCCCCACTATTACACTGTTTCCTAGCACAAGACACCCACTTTTGACTATGGTCAGACACTTGGCTATATAGTCCTTCTGTTTGACACAGCATGACTATTCTTATATTCATCAGTAATGTAGGTCCACTGAAGTATATACTCCTGTCGCTAGTCTCAAATTCCTGCCTGAAAATGTCAAGCTCAAGCCAAAACCTCAGTGTTATCATGATATACTTTTATGTAATTGCTATTTTACTAACTCCAAACAGAATAGCTGGAAACACTTTAAAAACTCAAAAAAAACAACTTAAGTATATTCTGAAGTTAGGGGAAAGTTGATGCTACTTTCAGCAACGCAGTGCTATCTGCTACTGTGCAATTCATGTAAAAAGCAGAGAGAAAGTTACTGCTGCTGCTGAGTGCTTTTAGTAAGCTCAACACAGCCTGAAGGTACTGTATTTTCAACGTGACTGAAACAGTATGTTGCCTAAGTATAATAAATTCTGAAAACACTTCTTTGATACCTTAAAAGTTTTGTGGTAACAGATGTGGCTGTAGCACCAAAAGCTGTCCATCTGAACACATATTTACCAGTAAGCAATTAAAGCATACCAGCAGAAGCACCTGCACACCCGCGCAACTGCATCTATGGTAAGATTTTTTCCAGAATTGAATACGACCAAACAAGAAGCTACAAACTAGCATGACAATTCGTCATGACAACTGCCTACACAGCAAGATAGCTCTGTCAACAAAGAGAGTGTGCATTATAAAAACGTAAAGATTCTGTCACTGCCAGAACAAAGAAATCTATCTATTAGAAACTCTGCCTGCACTAATAAACAGTGGTCACATTCTTTGGCATTAAAGTCAACTAGCCAGCATGGTTTGGCTATGTTCCTATTAATAACTTTCTTTAATACAGGGTGACCACATACAGACTGTCTGTTGGAGATGATTCTTGGCCTCCACTAGCTCCTACACTATGCCTGAGAGTCAACTGGGAAAACTGTAGCTAGCTTGCATAAAAGGTATATCAGGAACAAGTCCATCCACTTCACAGATGCAGTGATCCACTTGCTGTTCCCATTCCCCTCATCGCTCCCAGTATTACTTACTGGTATAGACACCATTTGCAAAATTATTTTAGCACCAGAATACATCTCTTGTGAAACTAAACACAGCCACAAGAATTCCTATGTCACAGGATTCTCTGACTTGCCTTCCTAATAAACAGAAACATGCTACTTAAAATTTACACCCCCTTTTTTATCATTAAGCCCTTATGATAAGTGCTAGTAAGAAGAAAGAATGGTAGAATCATAGATTGGAAAAGACTTTTAAGATCATTGAGTCCAAACACAAGCCCTTCAACAACCTGCCTGCTAAACCACGTCCCTAAGCACCTTCTCTACACATTTCTTGAACACTGCCAGGGATGGTGACTCCACTGTTTCCCTGAGCAGCCTGTTACAATGCTTGACTACTCTGTCCATGTCTTCCTAATGTTTAACCCGAACCTCCCCTGGCACAACTTGAGGCCATTTCCTCTTATCTATGAGTAGTTATTTTAGAGATCAACCCCCACCTCACTACTGCCTCCTTTCAGGTAGCTGCAGAGAGCAATAAAATCTCCCCTGACTCTTCTCCAGACTAAATAAGCTCAGCTCCCTCAGCCACTCCTCACAAGGGGCTCCAGTCCCTTCACCAGCTTTGTTGCCCCTCTTTGGGCATGCTCCAGCACCTGAATGTCTTTCTTGTAGTGAGGGGCTCAAAACTGAACACAGTATTTGAGGTGAAGTAGAGAGAGGTATTCAAGGTAGTAAAGAGAGTCCACAGTTCCATTAAAACAGTGCTGCTGCAATTATTTAAACATAGGCAACAATATGTTCCAATAATGTCTGCTAAACATATAACAAGAAACACACTCCTCACAACAACAAAAAAAAGAAAAATAAGAGAAACCTCTTGAATAACATATGTTGAAAGCCCAGTTCTCACGTGTTTGCTGACCGTGTCATGTTGTCAGAACTTCAATTCTGAGACCAACAGGGCTAAAAAAGTTTAAGAAGCTTAAAAAGAAAAGTTGAAAAAGTTTAAAAGGACATCCATTCACAGAGACCCTTCTTTTTAATAACAGTATCTTCAAAAGAATAATGGTATCCTTAACCTTTAATTTGCATGCTGACTGCAAACTAATTCCACATCATTTCTAGCCCTGACAGCAGAACTATCCCCCACAAACCCAACCGTTGAAGGCCTTCTGCCCCTGAATAAGCAGATCAGGTTGCATTCCACACATGAGTGACCTAAAGGTGGGAACAAGCACTAACCTTTCGAGGAGCGGAAGTGCTTGCTGGGCGCCGTAAAGCCTCTCGTCCCATGCACGTTCACAGCTGCCACCCGGAACTGGTACCACCTGCTCGCCCTGATGTCCGACAGCTGGAGCCGCTCGTCTGTAGTCTGGTGGGGAAAATGTCATGCTTATTCTCTGGATCTGACCTGGTTACTTGTGTCATCTCCCATTAATGCTGTTCAGTCATACTGAGAGGCAGAGGTCCCTTTTCTTTACATACGCAGATGTCTATTAAGCATAGGCAAGGTGCATGCAACTACACCCTACTCTGAGTGTCAATCTGAACTGCAATGCCTTTACGGTTGTGAAGAAAAACATGTAACCAACAAACGTTATAGTGCATCACAGGTCTCTCTCAGACTTACAATTTAAGTTGGAAAAGCAACCTTTAGAAAACTACTGAGGTGTTAAATTCACAAATTACTTTTTCAAATGGCACAATCTTTACCACTCCACAGGGCCTAGCTGATCAAGTGCTGCCTCAAGTAAGATAACTCATTTCTCTACATTGTGAAAAAGGAAAGCTGGGGCTCCGAAGAGGCTTAACAAAATGCAGGACTGCAAGAAGCTGCCTTTTCTGGTTCATAGGAAATAATAACCCTCAGGTAGTGAATGTGAGTCCTCTTTAGATCCTTAGTACCTATGTCAAAATTACACTCACAGCTTTAACTCTTCTCTACAGCAGCCTTTTCTCAAATCTCAGGAGACATCTTCTACTCCAGCAACACTATCTCAGACTGCTAGTGCCTTGAGTTCAGTTTTCAGCTTTCTTGGTAGTACTTTAAGCACAGAAATATGGAATTAGGATAGATGCACTCTGAACCCTTTCAATAGGAGGTACTTTATGCTCTCTCATTCTGAGTCATGCTTTCCTCTATCATTTTTCCCCTTAATCTTCTATACGTAGCTCTCTTTTGCTCTGTTTCTAATTTTTTTTATAAGGTACAAAAACCATGACTGAACACAGCCTTCTGCAAGCAGGCAAATCACTGCCAAATACAGAAGGAGCAGTATCAAGAACCAGTTTTAGTGCAACTCATCAGAAAATCATCTATTTGTTGTTGATTCTATATTTACAATTATCCAGTATTCAGATTATTTTAGCTGTCATATTGACTGTTTTAATTTAATTCTTTAATCAAAATAACACATGAATCTGAATTCAAACGCTTTCCGTATATCTAAATATATTTTACAACCAACACTGATCATCATTACTGACCAAACTCAATCTCTTTAAAAAATATGGTTACAAGCTCTGCTTTCCCTAATCTCAATCACTTTCCCTGTATTGGATTCAATATTCCTTGCAGGGATGCCAAGTACTTGCCAAAGAAGGCACAGCACAATTTCTGCTCACTGCTCTGTTTTCAATTTCTCTACGAAAGTAGCAGCTGCTGAGCAAGCTAAGACACAAAAAACTTCAGGGCAGTGTTTTAGCTACCCTGCAGTGATATTTTTATAGCACTGACCACTAAAATTTGTAGATATTATCCTGTACTTAAGCTCTTCACATGATGACATGAAAAATATAGGGAAACTAAACTGTCTGATGTATGTGCATATGTAAAACTGCGTTTCAAGCATGCACCAGACTGTTCTCCTGCTGATATGTTGTGCAGAGTTTGAGACCCCACATGTTACTGCTTGTCACACTCCTTCCCCGTTCAGATTGCCACATTTCTCTTTTTAGCCAAAGCCAGGGTTGCACTCCCTACACCTTAACACTATGCCTCCTCTTTCTATATATTCTTAAACATAATTTAAAGGTAATTTTTTTTGTTTGTTTTATCATTTCAGTTAGTTCTCACTATTTAAGTATAGTTGGAGCCAAGGTAATACTCGGAGTCTTTCGGATATCTTTCTTGTACTAAAAATAACTCATTAAGTGACAATACTGAAAAATTATAGGTTGAACATCGTAACACATTTGAACTCTGAATATTGCAAAAATCATTCAACAACAATTTTATCCGTATCTTATAATTCTATTATAATAATAACATAAAAATGTCAATAAATATAAAACAAAAGATGAAACAAAGAAAGGATAAAATATATTTAAAAATAATACAACTAAAAAGAATTTTAAAGAAATCACTCAGTATTACTTCACTGGCAGATCAGAATAGCTATTTATTTTAGCTACACATTATCTATTTACTTAAAATAATGGGTTTGAAGCTAGCCTCCAATCCTGTAGGATTAAAATACTATGACAAGGAAGTCCTCAGGCAAAATCACTGGACAACGTGCCCATCTTTAGCATCATCCAAAATACAGTGAGATAAGGCCCCATGAATTTTCACTGGGGTACATCTTTATATAATCACTGAGCCAAAAGCAGCATGGAATCATTATGTGAGATGTTAATATGTGAGATGTTAATATGTGAGAACATATTAACAAATTCACTCATGGTAAGACCCCATGCAATGGAAAATAGCAAGTTTTTTTTTGAAAATTAAATCCTTTAAAATATAGTTCTTCAAAACTATAGCCTCATTTCTTCTTGAATAATGAATAAAAAAGAAATTTTTGGATGAGGAACCCTGAAAAAATATGAATTCTTTCATAAGAAGATAAAAGCAACAACCTTGCATAATTGCACTGACTATAGATATAGGCTTACAGAAATTCATATCCTTGCCTGTAGCCGTCTTGATCACTATCTGCTCTGTACATGCGCTCTAGCTTAACTTACAAGCACAGTAATGAAAGAGCCAGCAGCATCTCTCCTGTTTCACGATAATACAGGAGTTCTCAGCTTTTTGCAGTTCTCATACACCTGTGTCCTGGAAGCATATGCGTAAAAATCTCTACTATATAGAATAAGGAAAGCCTATAGGCTGTGCACAAAGCTACTCTGGTCAAATTAGTCAATCCATCCTTGTTGCTGATACTGCAAAATAAACTCTAATACACCCAGCCATGCACAGTAAATTTGACTACCTGGCCGAACATCTATAGCTACCATAGGGCCACACTCCTCTACAGAGACAGAAATTCTTATCTACCATCACTCCTCAAGGGTGTCCAAGCCTGAATGTCCCTTAGGGTGTACAAAGTTCACAAGGGCTGTCAGGCATCCTGAAGCTTGTTCTGAACTGACATCCCCAGTGGGGTCCATCACACAATCAAACATGCATCTCTTGTGATGCAGAAGGGACAGGGAAGTTCTCAGAAAGATGTCAGATGGAATAGGCTTCTCCTGCCATAGTAATTAAAGCAGCCTCTTCTGCCTGCATGTGACAGACCCTCAGGAAGGGCAGCTGTCAGGATTCTCGTCATTCTTGTATGGGAACACATTTCTAGAAACCTCTCTCCCGCAGACTCGCTGCAAGAAGGTAGAGATCTGTGTATGCTCTCTATATAGCGTAGTGTCGTACATGCTTCCTGAAACGTGCCTGAGTTCTGTTTGTGGGATGAGAGCAGAGCAGCGGTGTGCTCCCTCTGCAGCCTGCAGCATCCAACCAGAACTGTTGTGCATCTGCAGTCTAGCACATGGATACGGCACAAACATGGCAAGGAAAACACAGATTTGGCTTATTTTTTTCTACCTTTTACTGTAGCGACTGTGGCAGGAGTTTGTTTGATGAATATGGATAACACATAGATTGAAAACCTGTACCTCAGCTGACAGTGACTTTAAGAAATAAGTCACTACAACTTGTTTAGTTTTGAATGGGTGCACTCTTCTCTAGGCTTGCACAAGTTTGCTTTCATGCCTGGAGCTGCTACTCATGACTTTTTCTGGGCAAGATTCTAACATGGTGACAGTCCCCTGTAGTGCCAAATTACAGCTTTAAGTGCTCTGTTTCACAAGCCAAACATTATTTTAAGATAGTGTCTTTCTACAGAATATGAATTGAGAATGAACATAGGTTGTCACAGAATCTGAACTATTTTCTGTGTTTTGTGGATGGTTCTACTTATCCTACCCTACTTTTTTTTTTTCTTAGCTGCAATGATATTTTGCAGATCTTTTCAAAATCAACATTTTGCTTTTCTTGTCAGCAGGGATGAGGATGAAACAGTTAAGATAAATGACTGGAACTCTGCCATCCAGGTGGACTGTCAGCATGTTAAAAAACAGATTGAAACTGGGAAGAAACTAAGTGAAAATTTATGCTCTGTTCGCTGCTTCTCATTAAGAAGCATTTGCTCATGAATCTTACATTTTCAGCCTGGATTGCACTGAGTGATAAGAGCATGACATCACAGGCTTTTCTAAATTAGGAGGGCAACATCTGAAAAAGCTACTTTACAAACAATAAAGGTCTTAGTCTTTTTTTTCCTCTTTTTTTTTTTTAATTCTTAAAATTAAATGGCCCTTTCATCAATTATAATTTTTATCTTTTCGATAAGACCCAATCCATGCCTTGGAGGCTATGTATGAGTCCCATTGACTTCAAAAGGTTTGTGTCACTCAAGTGCTTCCTTTAGTACAGTTCGGTATCTAATTCTACATTTTTCAAGAGCTTCATGGCTTTTAGAAAACCTTTCTTTGGAATTCCCATCTTAATATGTCTCATATGTATGTGCTTATGAGAAAGTACCACTCACTAGACATATACATCAAGTATCCACTAGAGAGTCCTACAGAGAGACCTCCGTAACACTTAGCTCATTTTGAAAAAATAAACTTCTGAATATTCTTATTTCAGGGAGAAGAAAGAAATATTTACTTCTTTACTGATATATTCATACTAATTCTTTTTTTCTAATACTGTTGTTTTCTATAATATTGTATTTGCATAGCTAAAAAAAACTGAAATGAAAATACTGAAGTTCATTTCTACTAAATAAGTCTTGAAAAAAACTCATGGAACACTGGAGTAAGACGTGTGAGATCTGGATTCTAGTTGTGGCTCTGTCATTGCTTATAGAGAGGACTTAGAAAGGGGCACCTCATCTTTCATATGTTCTAACTATCCTCTGAAGGGGATCTTCAGATCACTGGAAGCTAAGGACCCTTATCATTTTACAAAAAACTAACCTGTGCCACAGTTTGCCAGTTAGTAGCATCGTCCTCACTAGGATGGATCCCTTGATTCCATCTCCTCTGAACAACATAGATCACAGGCTCAATGGAAATATTGAATTTTGAAGACCACTTCACCTCCAGGTCTCCAGACTGAAGTTCTATGAATTTTAATTCTTTCCGGGGTTTCAGTGGAACACCTGCAATAGGAACACATGGAATCAAAATCTGAATAATTTACCAAACAAAATGAAGCCATGTGTAGACAAAACTGTAGAGAAAGAAAAAGAAGAAAAGGAAAAGGAAAAGGAAAAAAAGAAAAAGGTTGGTCAGCCAGAAGAAAAGAAGGGATAAATGGGTGGGATGATGAGAATGGAAATGTTCACAACTGACCTATCTCTGTCAATAAAAAAACTTGTTGTAAAAATAACATATTCAAAATGATTTCTTTATCTCACTTAAAAATTCAAGGAACATATAAGGATCTGAAATTTCTAAACTCATCTAAAACTCATCTAATCAAAAATAGTTTCCAAACATGCTTTGATTATGTGGACTCTATCTGACCCCAAGACACATCTCTCTCTCTGTGATTCAGATATTCATCTAATTTATGCTTAACGTATCCAGTGATGGGAATACAGATTCACTTAACTTGTTGCACTGCTTCTCTCTCCTTACCATTAGAAAGCTATCCCTAATGCTTGGCTCAATCTATTTTGCTGCATCTGGAAGCCAATACCTATCCACTATGGTCATGGATCATGTAAAACTATTTCCTTCACCTCTGAAGCAGCCTTTTCTATAATTGAAGACTGTTACCATATCTCTCAGTTTGTTCTTCTACAGCTTAATAAATTCAGCACACTCCATTTGCCTTTTAAATCAGGGTCTCTGATTTAAAATTGATCTTTAAATTCTCCACTGCCCTTCTCCAGGGGGCATGCCTAAAACTGGACATACACTTAAGCTGAACTCTTTTGTGCTGACTACAACAGAAGGATTATTTCACAAATGTTACAGGATTCTGATATAATGTTAAGTATGTTGTTTGCCTTCTCCACAACCACATGAATGTATTGACTCACATGCATCTATATTGTATGAGCTGCCAATCTCCATTCTTCCCTAAAGATATAGAAAAGGTAATACCAAATCATATTCCATTATATCAAACATGCATTTCAGGGACAAAGATGTCTTTCTAAAAGTTCACAGTAATCCCTCAGGGCTGCATTGAAGGACAGTTATTTCTGTTGCTTCTACTCGTAACAACATCTTCTTTTCAAAAACATTTATACCTTGAAGATCAATTCTTTAAATATGGCCTCTTCTGATCAAATCAGCAAATCAAGTGTTGCATATATTTCTAAAGGTAGGCATTAGAAAATTAAATATTTAATTTTGCAGCATTTAATTGTGACTTTAGCATATGCCATATATAAAATTGTTATGTTGACATATGTATCTTTTTATCAGGTTATCTATCATAGATGTTTTGAATCTTTTGTCACTTCAGTGCAGCTCTACATAAGTTAAACTGCATGCATTGGCACCATAAATTATAATTCAAATGCTTCTACATAGCCTATCACAGCTGAGAAACTGCTTTCACATTCTACAAGGTTTTCTCCTAAATCTGGTTATATAATTAGCTACAAGTAAATAAAAATCAATACTGTAGCTGTTGAACAAATCTAAAATCAACCCAAGGAAAATCCAGTGCTTAAATCTTGTTATCACACCATTTTAAATTCTGGATATCATTCAATGCCCAGCATTCTTAGTCTAATATAATGAAACAGATCATGTCAGTTCAAAATTTCTACAATTGAAAATCCTTCTTTAATTATGATATACAATAATCCTACATTCTGTATCTTAAGAAAACTTCCATCTGCTTCGCATTAGAGGCAGTTGGATTCACTTGATTGCCAGTAACTCAGCCTCTCTGGTGTTATGTAATTGTGTGCAGATGGATCTCGGCAGCAAGTAGGGCATAGCGCAAGTGCATTTTAGAATACTTCTGTAGAACAAGCATCATCAATTTCATATCCAGATGTGTGGATCCAGTCACTCTTCAATGTGCTTTTCATTACGTAAATGGTCAGTCCTTTCATCATAGTTGAACAAATTAGTCCTCTGAAGTTAGCAGTGTTTAAGTGAAGAATTCAAATCACTGAATGTTCTATGTGGGCAATACCAGAGCCCAGGGAAAATGTTTCAAAATGTGTCTTTCAAATGATGCATGCCCCTCTGCAAAAACAAATGCATGCAGGCTCATCATAAGAACATGTAGATAGCAAACACAGAAACTCAAGGAGTGTTTGTGGAAGGGATTCAGGGTACTGGTCAAACAGTTCAGACAGCAAATGGCATCCATGTGATTATAAAAACAGCTTGTTCAAAGACTGTTCAAATACTCAAAGATGCACAACTTTAAAACCGCATTTTTAACACAAAAAAATAGTATAAAATGATTTTTTTAAAAATTAATCTGTGGGTGACCATTTCGGCTCTAGGTACCCTATTATGACATTACCACACCATCATACCCTTTAAGTGCCATAATCTTATCTTCACCGTATTTTACTTCTTGATCAGATCTGCTTTATAGATGGCTCCCCAGCCCATTTCAGACAAAATGGCTAGGTTGTATGAAGCCTAAAGCTTTGTTAAAAACAGGGTTCTGGAAACTTCACTCAGGTAGGAGTATAAACATATTAGAGATTCCACTAACTTTTGAGCAAGACTTTCTTTTCCTCCTTTTTTGTTCTTTTTTTTTTTTTTTTTTTTTTTCTGATTCTTTTTTGTTCTAATTCTAAGCAGGGATATTGCCTCCATTTCCATCCATAAGGTACCAGATTTACTTTAGGCAGTTACTGTTACTTCTAACATCATTATGTCAGATAATTTCCCTCTGAGGGAAAAAAAAAACAGTGAGGTAGGCCATGTGAAAAGGACAGTCATTTGTCAGAATAAAGTCCTTTACAAGTTGAGACAATGTAAAGCAGATGGATGAGGAAGATGACAAGTGTAAGAGAGAACATCTCATACTTCCAGCAAAGGGAAAAATCTGAAGACTATGTAACTGATTAGTAATACTCCTTGATGAATGGAAGATATATGAAAAAAATAGAAAGACATGAAGAGTTTGAAGATTATGCAAGTGCACAAGTCAAGAAGCAATTAAGATAAGAAGTACAGTTTACCCAGTATTTTCTATATGTAACTGTGGTACAAGTATGGTACAAGTGTGGGCATTTTGTATCTGCTGATGTAACTTTAACCTCCAGAGCTATATCAACAACGAAACTATAACAACTTGCACAGACACTCAGATTCAATCTGAGTTCATTTTCTAGCTGTGAGTGCTGTCAAAATGATAACAGTAAGTACTAAAGTTATTCACTAGATCTTACTCATGCCTGCCGAGTTTGCTCTTCCTTGGTTTCGGGAAGGTCATTTACCCCTGGAGGAAACGAAAAGTAAGTCTGCTCAGCTTCCACTTGTCCTTTCTTACAGAAGAACAGGTTGAAGAGGCTAATTAGCTCAATTCACCAGCTATGAAGACAGCATTCATTCTGCCCTTCCTCTGCAACACATACATGCTTTTACAAGCAAGCACCTCCTGAAGATCGGTGATAAGATGTCAGAACAGAAGACTAGTTATATCACTATATAATTAGTCTGAACAAATAATAGATTTGTCTGTACGCAGTTATACAGTGTGCCCTATCCTGTACACATTTGCCCCTCTTCTCTGTAGCTCTTCTTAGGTCTGTTTTTCTTTTAAAAACTTTTTAAAGTTTTTTTTTTTAAAAAAAAACTTTTCCAGATGTTATATTTGCAGGAATGAACAATCTTGTTTCATAACTGTGGTATGGACCCTGACCATGTAAATAATTACCCATGCAATAAGAATGGTGAATTTATCTCTCTCAACATTTTTGCTCAAGAAGAACAGAAATAACTTTATAATCCATTATAATAGTCTTCATTTTTATAGGTGGTGTGGATGATAGAGTATAAATACCTTAACATTTTAAAGGGACTAAGTCTGAAGTCCCCTGGAACCAAGGGAATTTCTTTTCTATGTTGGGAATATGGACCACAATACTGCCTGCTCTTCTTTCAAATAAGAAAGTTCTTTGTTTCAAAATAGACCGGATATTTATTGTTATCAAGGGTACACTTAAAGAAAATCATGATAGCCTGCTTTGTTTCAGCTGCTATTATCAGCTTTATACCCTCAGTTAAGGGCAGAACTTCTGACCTCACGCAAACATATTCATCCCCAGTGGTTCTAAGGCTGCGAACGACAGGAGCATCACAGATTGTAGTAAGTCTAGATTCAGACCTAAGACCAAGGCTGAGTTTACAGTTCTGCTGATTAGGCTCTCAACAGAGAGACCATGCTCTCCGAAGTATAACTGACTAGTATTTATTTTTCATTACTAAGAAAGTTAAAATGATTTCTAACAAAATATTCCAACTCCCTTGAAAATGCCTTTTACATATGGTCATTGTTCAGTGTTAAAAGCACATTTTTCAGAATATTCCCATGTATCAATTTGTTTTAAATGATAACAAATTAAAATCTGGAATTTTTCTAAGCACAAATCATTCCTTAAGCAACAAGGCATGGCTGATAGATGGCAATGAAAGTCTTTTTTTTTTACAGAATTTCAGCAAATCAAAGCAAACAAAAATTTTCAGTAAGTACTGATGCCTTAGAATTTAAACAGTAAAGTAATATATGTGTGAATATATGTGGATATAAAACCATTTTTCCCTATTTTGATCTTAGGTCATTAAGACATTAAGAACACTAATTCCAAATATACTGCATTCTTTGGATCTTTAAGGGGATTATCTCCAACATCCTGTTTGATAGTCCTACCTACTTGGCTCATAATCATAAAGTTTATTTGTGATTAATATAACATGTATCATTTATCTTTAAATACTTTCCTGGGATTTCACCTAAACTGACAAGCTTGTTCTTCTTAAGAAGATTCACAGCAGCCACATGTTTATGTTCCACAGATTTCTACACAGGGGCTTCATAAGTGAATAAAAGAAACAGCCTTCAGAAACTCAGGCTACATTTTTCCTTGTCTTTCTATGTTCAGATATATCCCCAAAGCCTTCTCTTTCTTCACCTCCCCATATATAAAAAAATTCTAGGAAATGAAAAGCCTGATTTTCCAGGAGACTTTTTTATGGTCTGAAGATGTTAGCCCAGTATGAGTACCTATTAATAATCTCTACCTTTGTAAAGATTTTTTGGAACTTGGCACGTATGTCCACATCCATTGGAACAGCATTTCTTCACTCCAGAACATTCACTATCAGCTTCACAGCTTTCAACACAGGCAGCTGCAAAACCACTGGCCTTCTCAGGTGCTGGGCAGTCCCCTTGCTTCACAGACAGGATGTACTTAAGGAATTCACAGCTAGTTAGGCATTCATAATTCTTCTTGGGGAAAAGAGGCTAAAGGGGAAACAAAAGAATTGTAGAAAGTTTTCAGCAGGGAAAGAAGAAAAAACGTTGCACATTTTCCAAGACCTCCGAAAGGAAAAATCAGATTTTCAGCTTTTGCAAGACTATCCCCAAAGATTTATGTATTCAGGTCACTTCTAAAAGAGCATTACAAGCTCAGAATGATGAATTCCCTCAAGTAAGACCACCATCTTTTACGGAAAAATGCTGTTTATATTTGTCAGCTTTCTCTTGTTTTCCTCACATTGCCTGGCTACGGAGTTTCTCAACAACAGATTAAAAACACTCCCAACACAAAGGGGAAACAATGGTCAGACAGTCCTTTTTTAGGACTATCCCACATTCCTCCTTTTTTCCTCATGACACTTTACCCACAATATCTGATGTTATGCCATTCTAGATAAATGAGCTAAGTCTTGCTTCATTATCCTTTTTGAACTGAATAGACAGGATTTAGTAGCATCCAAATTCTTGCCAATGTTCAGTTCTTTATGGAACTGGAACATAATTTCTGATAAATTGATTGGTAAGCAATTGGTAGGCAATTAATTAGCAAATTAAAACAGGGATTAAATATATTGATTCAAGGCCAAAATAAATGCTATTTCTTTGAGAAATCAGGTCCTAGAGAGACTACTTTAAAGCACAGCTATTTTAAAGCACATGTGTAGCACTCAAAGTTTTACAATATTCATTTAAAGCTATATGAAAAAATAAGAGCATCTAAGACACTAAGGAGAACACTGTGTGTGATAGAAATTTCATCTCCTCTTTTAGCCGATATTTTGTTTATGTCACTGCAAAAGAAAGCAAAAGTGAATCTCTCAAAATAATTGGTGGAACTTTTATAACCCATGCAAACTGGGTTCCTATAACTTTTCATTGTATTTAAGTAAAATCAAAAACCTTCCTCTCTGAAGAATCTATACAAGATTTACAGATATCTAAGCCTACACAGGAATTCTAACCTACCTCCATCTAAGTACTCCTATAGCTTCTATGAGTTCACAGTTCTCTTCCATATTCAAATGTTTTACTTTCTCATTTATAGCATTCTCATATTTTGGCAAAATGAGAGACATTGTTGACCTCTTTCACCAGTCATGAGTACATCTACACTGAGCCAGTTTATACTGCAATGTTAAGACCGCCCAGTAGTGCCGAGTTTACTTCTTTCCCCTTTTCCTTCAACAGCTCAAAATTTCTGAATCAGACTCCAAAGGATGCAGCTGGGTGGCCCAACTTAAAAGCTACTTCTGCCAATATGGGCAGTCCTGCCTCCTCTCCTACTGACCCCATCATCCTTAGATGTGCACATCAGCTGTTCCCCCACAGGACCTTACCCCATCCCACAGTTAGCCAGATAAGCAGTTAAACTGCAAGAAAACATCCTTAAAGGAAGAACAGTGTCAGCCAGACTTCAGTAACCTCAAATAATAGAGATAAGCAACAGTGCAGGTCTAAGGGAGAGGTTGGGAATGAGCCACAGAAGCTGGGCACTTTAAGCAGTAGGCGGATCTGAGCAAGGTTGAGTAACAAAACCAAATTAACCTACCATGTATAGTTCTCCTGCATTAACTAAATGAAAATCTGTGCCTCTTTCATTTAGTGGCAGAATAGGAACCACCATTTCCTTCTACATGTTGTTCAGATATAATCTTTTTTTTTCTTTACATGTAATGTTCCTTTACCTTTAGCATACTGATTCAGTAGATAAGAAACTACTTCCAAAGCAGAAACAATGGAAAATCTGAAGCTAAATGGTTGTTTCCAAAATGAAAAAAAAAAGGGGGGGGGAGAATTATCAAAAGTAAAGAATCTATTTCAATTCAAACAATAGCCACAGGGCATAGATGAGATTAAGAAGAATGGCCCCTTGCGTACTTGTGTGTGTGTGTACATGCATGTGTGTGTGAAGCTAATTTCAAATCCTAAAACATCACAAATTTGCAGCTACTTAATTAAAACCTTTACAGCTCCCTGAGGCATAATACATCCTCAAGGCTTCTCTCCCTCACCCTATTTCACAGCTCATTTTTTCAGTTAGCTGCTAAATGTGATGCTCTTTGAAGTTCTAAATTTAGCTTCAACCACAAAACACTAATCAAAGAGGGATGCTCACTGTTTTTAACTACAATAGAACACTGTTCTACAAATGTTTTTCTTTTAAACTAAATTTATACATATTTACATCCATCTCTGGAAACACACAGTCAGAGTGAGAAGTGATATATGAGGGTAACATAAATTAGACACTTAAAATATTTTATTACACTACCCTAGAGTTTTGTATGTGAGGAAGCAGTAGTTGATTTCTGTTAAAAGAAATCTTACAAGAATCATTTTTATATGAAACATAACACTAACAAAATTAAATAGGTAGTTAGGTAGTAATCCCTATTTACACAGTTATTTGGATATAGGAAACGTTTTTTAGTTGAAATTATACCTCTAAACATGTTTATGATGTTTATATATAAACAAACCCTTTGTTCTTAAACAAAAATGCCTTCAATGATGAGGGAAAAGATAAATCAATATATTAGTTAAGATAATTTTTATATTTTTATAGACAATGTTGAAAATCTTTATAAATCTTTATTCAAATAATTGATATGCTTAAAGGTGCACGTTTGTACTGATTTCACTGTAACAAAGCAACCTTCTTTTGAGATGTTTTCACTACTTACTAAAACCTTAAACAAGTGACTTCCGCCAATTCAGTAGAAGCCATATTTTAAGCCCAGCAAAACTATCTCCTTTTTTATAATAATTTAATTGATGGAAGTTTCGTTTATATACAAAGCTATTCTGAAACACTCTGCAGAAATAGTTCTATTTGTTCCTGACTAATTATACATTTTGATACTAATTCAATTAAATAAGTGTCTGTAATACAGTTATTCCTAAACAGCTATTCTTTTAAAAAGCACAAACTGACTTTCACATATAGGAAAGCTCTTTCCATCATCCTTGCAAAAGGATTTTCACACATGTGACATTTTATCGGTTTTAAAAGACTCTCTTTCTTACATATAGCCAGAAGGCAAAGAAGGGCATGCGACAGAAATAGCAACTTAGAGAAGAGAATTAATGGCACCTTCTCAGAGAAGGTATGTAAGTATGGCTGGATCACAGCTTAAAGCATCAGGCATAGATAAATCAGAAAAAAAAAAAAAAAAAAGGAGGAAAAAAATCACAGCCTTACTGTGGCTTCCTCTTTTTGTGTGTATCCATCCAAATAAAATGCAATGCTGTATGAGGCCTGTTAGTTAGCTGTCTCCTTAAAGCTCACACCTCTAGTAATATGAACGAATGAGACAGCCAGAAACAAGTGAGAAAGATGCCTTTGGGCTTACGTACCTCACAGAAACTTTGGCAGTGGTTTTTCTTCAGGTCCCAAGATTCTTTGCAGGGCTCCAGGCACTAGGAAGAATCAGGAGGGATAAAGTGTCAGGAAGAGAAAGAAATAAACATCCACAAATAACCCTAATTCTTCTCTAGCTGTTTGTTCAGCCCATAGGAAGCCAATAATAGGCTTTAAAAATCCACTTCTCTTGAGGATAAGATTGTGTCATTGTGTCACGGTGACAGAGCAAGGTCATTCCAAGCCATGGTTAGATTACTAGAAATATTTTCTTTATTTCCTACTGTACCATGCAGTCTCCTCACTTATGTATATGACATCCTATTTTCTGCCTGAGTGAATCTGGATGCTCACAACATTTAAGGCCATGTTCCTGGACCACAGATAAAATGGCAAAGAACCACTTCACATTATGGTTAGGTTACATCTTCTCCTTACTGACCAGTCTAAAGATAAGAGAAACACATTAACTTCTAGGAGAAAAGCTGTTTCATCAAGCTGTGGTGTAGACTCAAGAGGAGCTTTAGCCACTATTGCTGTATAAAGAGGAAATGTTCACCATTCCATTAGCAAAACGACTTTATTTCAAATATCCAATGATCATTTCTTCACCTTCAACCTCTACTGCAATGCTTATATACAGATTTTGGATTCTAACTCTGCAAACCAGAATCAAACTTCACAATATGGTATACAGAAAAATCTGAAGCATCATCTGCAGCTGAAACATAAATTTAGACTCATATTCAGAATCCTCTTTGCCTCCTTTGTTAGACAGATAGTCTTAGAAAATACTGTCAGTATTGGGGGTTAATAACACTTATTCAATCAATCATGAAGCCATTCCACACCTTTAGCAACCTGTTTCCCTCTTAGCGCGTTATTCTATGATTCTATGATTCTATGAATAATACTTATTCTTTCTGGTCACACTGGAAAGACCCTGCAGCAAAGAGAAGAGTCTTTGCTAGGAACCTGGTGTTCATAAAGCTTCTTTCCCTAATGCACAGTAGCACACTGGAGCCATGTACATACATGCTGTTCAGAAACAAGCATGAATACATATAGGCTGTATATCAGATCACCTACAATATTAACATACTGAAAAAAAAACAACGTATAACATTTTTCTTAGCAGTGACAAAGCCTGAAAATCCAATAAAAGCACTACTCAAATTTCGGCTTCTAGCACTTGAAAATTCACAGTGTTTAGTATACAGAGAGATTAGAAGGCCACATTAAAAAATGTCACTTAAGTCAGTAAATTTAATTAACTCCAGACTGTTTTCTTCCTATGGTACAGTTGTACTTTTGAGCTCAGGGAGTTCCTGAGTTCCTGTCAATTTTACCACTCTCTCTACTGTCTGATGGGCTTAGCCCCTCTTTACTGAAGTAAATGGTGTCAAGACACTGTGGGCAACATTTTGAGAAGACTAGGATTTTGTCAGCAACTTTTAAGGCTCTCAGGATTTCCTTACTCTTGCTTTTTCCTAATTCTTTCCTAATTCTAGTTTCACTGCTGCAGAGCCACAAAGGCTGTGCCTAAACCGTAGGGTAGTCACATTCCTGAGTAGGAACCAGGACCAAGTTCACTGTTGACTGTTTCGCTGGACTTGCAGGCTTTAGAGCAAAACAGCCATTCTGCTCTAGATGCCAGCTATTCCAGAAAGTTTAAGGTGTTTGCACAAGAGTGTATTCACCTGCCACGTAATCTGGCTCTACCACTTAGTGCCTTGTCTAGCTGCTGTCAGGCTCAGCACACAGGTTCTGATTCTTTACCCTTACCTACACATAAAACAGAATCATAGAATCATTACAGTTGGAAAAGACCTTCAAGATCATGGAGCCCAACTGCAAAACCTGCAGCCTGCCTACTAATGCTTGTCCCTAAGTGCCTCATCTGCATGTTTCTTCAACACTGCCAGGGATGGTGACTCCACCACTTCCCTGGGCAGCCTGTTCCAACCTTTAACTACTCATTCATGCTCCTGCTGTGTGAGGAGTCCTTGGGGTCACTGGGCTTGGCCCAGTGAAAAGCCAGGTGCTGCTGCAGAATTCCTGACTGCCTAGCTTTAATGGGGCTGAGGGTTGGAGAGGAACTACTAGAAACAGACAGAAATGTTCCCAACAACCTTGCCCTGAAGGGCATAGTCCTTCTAGACTATGGGACAGTCCTTCCAGACTAGTCTTTGGGATAGTCCTTCTAGAAAGGTAGTTACTAAATTTGCAATAACATAGATAAAAGTATCTCACAAGCACAGAGGTGGTGCATTCATTCTCTTGGCTGCAAAGAGGTCTAGCTATATCTTAAGTGGGAACCTGAAGATGTGCAGGGAAAATCTGGAAGCTCTTATTTTTGAATCCATGACTTGAACAGTAAGACCCTCCTTGGGATCTCACCCACTGCCGGTTAACCTTACCCCCTAACTGGCAATCTCAGAGAAAGAGATACTCTTTCTCCCATGAAGTCTCTCCTGGCATGTTTATATGGAAAGAAAACATGTTCCAGTACAATCAGATATGTCATACCTTCTAGGTCATCAGAAGAGTTTCAAAAATATACCTAAAACATTCATGAAGAAAGTATTCTCATACAGCAAATAAACACAACCTGGTTTGCTGGATGACTGTAAACATGCACTGGTTAAAAGGATACCAAAAATCCTCTATCCAGGATGAGGAAAATTTATGCCAAGCAGCAGCTAGTAGCTGATTCTGGCTATATTTTATGCACTAAGCAATGCCTCGCAGACACCACCACCCACCTCAGAAGCTGGGCTTTGCTATTTAGATGGCAGACCACCAGCACACACGAAGGCAGTGTGGGAAGCGCTCTGGTGATCCATGCAGCAGATGGCACTGTTCCCTGGGAGTCCCTCCTGAACCCCTTCCCCAGCACCATGGCAAAGGGAATCATATAGCTGGAGGGGAATACGGTCGAATGAGGTGTGAAACACAGGTCTTAACCAGCTGTAGTCATTACGGGCTGGTGGCACTTTTCATAAGATGAAGGGTATTTACCACGCTGGCCTTGCTAAATTGAATCTTCAAAAAGTAACCCTTTTAAGGCCTCCTGTGGCTTAATTTGGAAGTTGTAGATTTTCTTTCCTCATCTGGACTACTGTGGAATTCATTACTAACAATTACATCAAAAAAATCATCCCAGTATTTGTCCCCCTTCAAAATCTGTGCATTTGTATGGACATGTGCACACATGTATGTATGTAAACATACATATATGAGGCACTGCGATAGAGATCTTGTTATAAATTTAGGAACAATGATAAAATACCATGTCATTTCAAGGAAGAGTTATTACTATTGTTTTAACTTTTTTTTTCATTGTATTTTTTAAGGTACTGTATGTAAATGACCCTCTTAGAGAAGCCTTTATTCCTCTGACTTTCAAATTAAATAAATAAAAGCAACAAATATGAGTTTAGCATCTGATCTTTGCTATTTACATTATGAGGAAGAGAGAATTCCAAAACTCTTTCAAATATTTAAATTTATTACAATTTTTTAAATATATTTGAATATTATATGTAAAATGGATAATCAAATATGACATATCTGTAACTGTTTAAATGATAAATTATAGTTTATTTCAGAAAAGATTAATCTATATATTAGACATTTTTATCTAATAAGGCTTCTTCTTACTACCCTAAACTGGAAAACAAGTAATACGAAAACTTCAATAAAAAAGAGTGGAATCAAAATGTTATAGCTCAAAATATCTCTTCATTATCATTCCCCATTCCAATTGTTTATGGCAGGAAGGTCAGAATCTTATATTTTATGTCTAAAAATATATATGCAAATGAAAAAATGTACTGTGGTCTTAAGGTATTTAATTAGCTGGAACTGGAGAAGTATCACTCTCTACGTTGTTGTTTGAACCAAAAACCAAACTAGGTCCTCTAGCTTAGGCACTGTTGTAACTGACACATCAATCTGACATCACACTTCTGCAGCTAGGAAGTTATGATATAATTCTAAAAGCTATACACAGAAGACAAAAGAATAAAAAAGTTGAATAGGAAAACATAATTATTCATAAAAATAGGTAATGAACACAAGTCCAACAATTTTCAATGAAACACATGAAGGCATCCTTGGATGAGATCAGCGAATCATCAGGAACATTCCAGCTCAGGCAGCACATCCTTACAGAGAAATATAACAAACAATCCTGCAGGTGCGGTCTTACAATTGCCATAGAATTAAGGATTCTCTGAAACGGAGTTTGCCTACACACCTCAGGAATGTACATTTTTATCTAATCACTTTTTACAAGTCTATTTATACATTCGGTCTTCCAGCTTCCTGCGGCTTCCAGTTTCATCATAAACTTTAAGATGGACATTTTCTTTACGTAAGTCTATCAGCATCATTCAGGTACTTAAATTCTGCATATGAAAAAAATGACTAGGAAAAATGAAATTAGAAACACTTTTTTAAAGACTCATAATCCCGTAATCCTGAAAGCAGCTCTGCAGAGAAGGGCATGAGGGCCCTGGGCTGCATAAGGACAAGTCTTGCCAGCTGGTGCTCCTCCCTCAGCTCAGCCCCGGCGAGGCCGCACCTGGAGCACTGGGTCCAGGCCTGGGCTCCCCAGCATCAGGGAGTTAACAAGTTACCCGAGCTATTCCAGCCAAGGGCCACCACGTTGACTGAGGGACTAGAGCATCTCTCACAAGAGGGCAGGCCGAGAGAGATGGGAGTTTAGCTGGAGAGGAAAAGGCTCCAAGATCTTATTAATGTGTGTAGATATAGGAAAAAGGGCTGTAAAGACTACTGAGACAGACTCTTCTCAATGGTGTACAGTGACAGGGCGAGGGGCAATAGACACAAACTGAAATACAGGAAATTATGTCTGAATCTATGGAAAAAAAACTTTTTTTTTTTTTTTTCTCCTCCAGGCACTGTGAGAATGACTGAGCACTGAAACAGGCTGCCCAGAGAGGTGGTGGAGTCTCCTTCTTTGGAGATATTCAAAAGCCATCTGGAAATGTTCCTGGGCTCACTGCTCTAGGCAGGGCGTTTAGCAGGGCAT